GAAATTGTCAGTCGGGGTTTAACAACAAAAATGAGGCTGTGCTAACGAAAGAGGGTCGTGATAAATTCACCAATCAATCAATGTAAGAAAGACGTCGGAGCAGGTGGGTACTTAAAAAGCAATATGGTTCGATTCCCCCCTTCACCGCTGACCGAGGCGCTTTACTAATTGAGGTCTCTTTCCTCTTCGGAATAGGCTATTACCATGCATAGTATGTTACGTCAAGGAGTGGGGAAAACGTCAGGGACTCAGGGCTCAGGGCTCCGGGGCAAGACAAGGGGGGGTTAAATAAGGGCGGCCGGCTAGGAACCCTTGTCGGTTCACACGTTCCGCGACGAGCCTATTACATAGTAGAATGCCGTCAGAATAGATGTCTTAACACGGGAATCTACAATATGATTTTATTTATAACAATTAGATAGGTTATGAAATTAAGAAGAATACTATCTAATATTGAAAACAATTTGAATTTTACTTTAGTTTTATTTTAGTATTATTTTGTCAAATTATACTTAATAATAAAGCGAAGTCATATTCATAAGAAATTGATCTCTGTGTTAAGTAAATGGTATCTGGGTTTGACTGGGTTGTGCAGTCTACTTCAGATTGGCTCCAAAAATGGACACGAGAAACCGCTGTTTCAGCCAACCGACGTTGAGCCTGTCTCCCTCAGATCGAACTTTGCAGAACACCCCTGTCGAATTCCCCTCATCGACCATGGGAAAAACCATGGCAAAGCCAACGATGATGACTGCACTACCATTTCTACACTAGGTACGCTATAGGAATGTGATGAGCAACGATGGACGAAGAAGCTACTTGCTAAAAAACAGAGCTTATCTTACTATAAATTTATTTGTCTTCTAGCAGACTTTTACTTCCATGTGGAACTCCACAAAGCGGAGATGGGATAGGATTAAGTGCCTAACCTAATAGCAGTAGTAATAGCTTAATAACTAATGCTATCAAACTCCCTTAGCTACCTACCCAAGCCTCCCTAATCTACTGATGCAACTGACAGACCCGAATATCTGCCGGACAAGATAGTATCATTACATCATGCCTCGCCTATTTTTCTCCTTATTTTAACCTGCCGAGGTCTTTCTAAAAAAAATCTCAACGAAAATTAGACAAGGCTCATCTTGGCAAGATGTTAGTATAGCGCTGCTGGCCCCGTCCCCCGAGAATTGTGGATGCTCCGCCCGGAGCGGGACCTAAACGTTCGGGTATATACTCCGTAGGGAGTAGGGATCTGGGCTCTTGTGTGATGATCCAACTTATTAACACCTGTGTCTTTATGACCCAAGTCCGTCGCCAATGCTTGTAAATTGTGGGCCGAAGTAGGATAAGTGGACGGAACTCGGATTCTCTTCTTCTTTTATATTTTCCATCTTCGACATCGAAGAATTCCATACCCGCCCTGGGCTTACCTGATACGTACGTGCCCTCGGGGTTCTTGTCCGTTTGGGATAGCGGTGGCTCGGAGCTGCGCACAGATTAATGCTTTCGCCTTGTGGATCTCATAGCCGGCACTTTCAACCTTTTAAGGAAAATAAGAGAAAAAAATTAAGTTGACATGACGTTGCTAAGACCAATTCTGTTCGATGGTAGACGCGTTTGGTATAGGTAGACAGTTTCTTCCCTGTCAATTGACACAGGGATAGACCATGTCTCCTGATAGAATATGCATAGAACATGCAACACCTGGTTGATATTCGGTGGTGATTTTGGTAGGCGACTCGACTAGAAACAAAATATTGGAGCTAGTTACTTTTCGCGAACTTCGCGATCTTGACTTCATCTCCCGGTATCGGGATTTTTTTATTACCTAGTCCCCTTGTTTCAACTTAAAGGGGCAGAGGGGCAGAGGGGAAGCAAAAGATTTTAGCCACTGGTTCAAGTCAATAATTCTCAAGCCGCAACTCAGGTAAATGGGGCTTGGGTGTCTGTTCTTTTCACCTGAAACCCGCTGTCTCTTTACGTTTAGGCGATTTCTAGGTCAACTCCCCCTTTTAGGTCACGGGCAAGATCCGTATGGTTTACAAAGGAGTTATTTGGTCATAGGTCACGTCTATCTGCTTTGTTTATTAGTTAGCCCGAGTGTTGAAGAAAATTGCACAAAGGTCGGGGGCTTCTTTTTATGATATGTATGGTTGCTGGGTAGCTGGTATGTCCGGTATGTTACTTCATTGATACCTTAAGTACCTACACTAGCTACCTTCTACACGCATGTATAGCACTACTCAGTCATGCCTCGCTAGTTTTTAATATGGTGCAACGGAATTGGACGTGAGAAATTGATTTCCTCCTCCAAACACCGTGGCCTACTGTATCATGTGCGGTCCATGTACCATAAGGGCATTGCTAGTGCGCCGGATGACTTGGTTCGTCCTCTAAAGGATCTGGAACATGTCGGTATGTGGCATAGATACAAAATATACCAATGGAAATATATATCATATATACCTGCTACCTACCTATGTGTTGATTCCTACAGACTAGGCTTCCATATAGACCAGTGCTGATGCATGCCACCACACCAGGCTGATTGAGGGCTAGCGCACCGTCAAGGTTGTCTTGCAGGTTAAAGCATTAGGGATGCTGTACTGATTTCATCTACGTTCTTACCAACATTTGTCACGCCGCCACGTTTGGTGAGACCCGTTGCTTCCTACAAGATCGCAGGTCATAACGTTAAAGCTTACATAGTATTGGATCTTGTTTGCATGACAATACCTTAACCATCCATCATGGCTGTTCTGGGATCCGAGTGGAGTCGGAGATTCTTGACAGCCCCGCCACGCTGACATGTCCAACAGCCAGTCGTGGGCTTCGATATTCGTCGAGTTCACCTAATGTCGCATGGCCAGCACAGAATCGACGAGAAAGCTCCGACGATATGATATGACAAGGAAAATAATCATTAGAGGTGTAAGACGCCGTTCGAGATAATACACGTGGGTAGGTTTTACCGCCGTCGTCCGCGGGTCATACCTCTTCGTCTCTTCGGCGTCAGAGACGGGTTTGCGGATGGGATGGATGATGGGACGATGCCAACCCAAACGCGGCACACGCAGGATAATGCCCTGGATACGCCCTGGATATGTCCTGCGATAGCGCGACAAGACATGGCCGATGCAGCTGCTGACTTTGACCACTACCCAGTGAGCTGGAGGATCCTGTCCGATAGGGCCGAGCAGTTGGCTTCGCCTCCGTCGTCTCTAAGCCAAGAAAGGTTTAGAGACACATGCTACTTGTGTACACACGTCTGTACGTAGATGTCCCCTTGGCAGGGATCAGACTGAGATCATGGAACGGTGAGAGAGAGCTTAGCGGACGATACCACCTCTTACACCCAGTTAACTCCTCAACCCACTCCCACTCCCTCTTGACGATGATTCGCATCACAATACACGTCCGTGCCAGCCCCGGTACTAGTAGGTAATAGCAGTCTGAGCAGTCTGTTCTCTGCAGTGGAATAACATTGTGTACAGTGTATAAGGAATACGTTTACTGTAGCACGCTGTCGTTGTATCCTATCCTATCTTGTGAAGAATACCGAGGGAGCTAGCTGCGAGGCGAAGGTCGCTTTTGGGAGCTTGACTTTTTTTTTTATTAATACCCAAACCACCCTTTTCGCTTCATCATGCAAAAAAAAAAAAAAAAAAACCTATTGCGCTGCCGCACTGCCCTCTGTTAGTGTGCACAGCAGATTGGAAGGACAAGATCCAACCACCGAGCGCCCGAGATGTCGGGCTCCTCGGTGCCAGCAACATACATAGTATCATTTAGTAATGTATAGTAGCATTGCGGTAGCATTGCGGTAGCATAACTCGATTGATGCAGTTGCTGCAAATTAATTTTTATTTATTTTTTGTTTTCCCTTTCTTCATATTATTACGCTCAAAGCTCCAAGTAGGCTATGCCCGAGGAAATAGGTACTATGACATGTAGGTATCGTGGGTACATCATGTAAGAAATACTATTACACTATGCGATGCGTACCTACCTACATGCGCTAAGGGGTTATTGTACAATAGGTACAATACAATACGCCTGCCTGGATAAGACCTAACCTACCTCCTACAGGCTACTAGACGGTGGGCAGAAGTACCGACTTGGTTCCCCCTGTAGGTTTGGTTAGTTTAGGTAGGCCCAGGCACCTATGTCTGTGTACCTTTTGCTCCCCCACAGTAACTCTGCTAAGTAAGGTGTTCCGTACTGTAGAGAGGTACTTGGACGACTTGAACAATTTAGGCGACAAGTATGTCCCATTAGCACCCAACCTCTCATTGCCCCCACCATTACAAGCGCCATAGAAAGTCCGCCGTGGATGTACACGATGTACCGTATTTTCCTCTTCCGGAAAGTGAAACAGTCCCAAGCTGGTGCCGGGCACGGTGTACATCCACCTAAGTTCACCAAGCCCACCAAAATGCTGCGCCTAACGTCGCTGTTCGGGTAGTTTAGTTATTTAACAACCCTCCAGTCCCCCGTTGATTTTCTCCATTTTGTTAGTTTCTCATATCATCACCGAATTTAAACGTGAGCTTTGCTCTAATCTCAACCACACACTCGCTTTATCCTACCTCCCCCTTAGGAAGTCCTCGTTGGCTCCTGTCATTCGCTTTTTCCTTTTTTTGTGTGTTTGGAGATTTGTACTCGAAGGATCCCACCGTCAAATCGTGAACTCGACCTCGTCTCGCTGTGTCATCTCAAGTCATCATCTCAACCCATCTCAACGCCATAAAGCCGCTGATTAAAAAAAGAAATCACTTGACACCGCTCACCCCGTTCCGCTTGACCAAGTACTCCGAGTCTCGAGAATATATTCAATCGCTTAAAACACCTGGAAGGAAACGACCAGCAAAGACCATCAAATTACCAGGCTTATCAACGACGTCCCGCATCTGTCTTGTGTGTATGTGCGCACCCTGTGTAGATCCCCACGAACACCGAGAAACCTTAGAGATCCTCGAGAGGTTTTAAGACAAACGCAGCACACTTGGTCTATGTCGTGATATAGGCGTAACTGTTACCCTCGCCTTAATCATATCCGTCCAAAAAGAGGAGGCATATAATCTATATCTACCTCCGCCGATCGTCCAGGAAGGTCCAGGAAGGTCTAGTTGACTAACGCCAATCCCAAACTCATTCGCTCGCTTTCGGCACGAAGCTATCTTGTGCCTTGATTCACGTATGTTACTATTCCCTTGACCGGCTTGGACTACACTCTTCGGAGCCGCCTGCCGGACACCGAGACATCGGTGTTGGTACTGACCTAGTGTCTTAGTTCTTTCGTTCTACTTAATTATTGTAATACAGCTTTTACAATGGCTGGCCCAGGTGGTGGTCCCCCGCGACGCAGGTTTGTTCCCCCGAGCAAACTAATCTTTTTTTTTTTTTAAACGTTCGGTGTACTGATTGTTGTCTTCCAGTCACACTAAGTCGCGCAAGGGCTGCGATAATTGGTATGCTCGTTTGACTTGTAGCAGTCATAATCAGACGGGAAACTAACTAGTTTGTAGCAAACGTCGGCATATCCGATGTGATGAGAACTTTCCCCAATGGTCGGTATAATCCTTCTCTAGAAACACATGCAGCTTGCTAACCCCTGAGCAGCCGTAACTGCACCAAGCACAAGGTCCGATGCCCGTACAACGATGTGCCTGTTCCTGATGAAAGGGCAGCCACTCCCGATAAGCCCGATCTGATGTGGACCCCTGAGATCGAGGCCGCCGTCGAGCAGTGGCAGCGAACTGGAATCTTCCCGTTCCCGAGCCTTAACATCTACCCAGCGCCGGCACCTCAGTACTATTCGGTTGAGGATCTAAGGCTGATTTTCCACGTTGCTGCCATCTGCAATGAGATGAGTGCCATGGATGCCAACGGGTTTACCCTCTGGACCCGTCAGATTCCAACGTATGTCTCCGCTCCAGATTTCAAGATTGTCGCGCTAACTTGTGCCGCCAAGGATCATTAAAATCGGTGCTACCCACGGCTACGTTATGCATGCTCTGCTCGCTTTTTCGGCCGAGCACATCGCTTTCTTGACAAACTGTCCTCATGTGGGAAGCATGGCTTACGAGCACCGTGGAGTCGCCTTTAAAGGATTGCAGGAAGCCATTGGATCGTTCTCACGTGAAAATTCAGACGCCGTTCTAGCTGCCTCTCTCGTGCTCTCGTGGCAGGCGACAGATTGGTAGGCAATAAAATGCATGTATCCGACAAGCAAAGGCTAACCTCGAGAAATAATAGGCGAAGCTGGACCCAGTTGATGCAAGGGACCTCGTCCGTAAGTCACAAACCTGTCGCTCAACCTAGATTAGTCGTACTGACAGCAGCATTTAAAAGGTCATCGATGCAATGGAGCCCTGGAAGCACGAGTCCCAATTTGGAGAGTTCATCGCTGAAAGCAGCACGTTCCCTACTGCGCCCCCGTCTCCGACTCCGGATCACAAGCCTCATCAACCACGGAAGGAGGATCTTGATGCTTTCCAGCGTACTATCAATCAGATCACCAAGGTCGAAGCTCATCTCAAGCAAAACAAGGAGGATCCTCAATTAGCGACCCAGCTAGTCTGCTTCCTTAAAGGCGCTCGCAAGGTCAGCCCGATCCAGTCGATTGAGGATCAGTTCGATCGTCTCCGACCTCTCCGAACCTGGCTATTTTGGCTTCCCGTGATGTGCTTCAAGCAGAATGGCACATCTCCAAGTGCTTTGGTCGTTGTCGCGCACTACTACACTGCTGCGATCATGATGGAACGCCTCTTCCCCGAGATTGGTGCCGCATACTTCGGTAGTCTTGCCATTGGACCGGTAGAGGAAATTGCCCGACGACTACTTTCGATCAACGTTTCGGGGAGCCTCGATGGAGATTCGCAGACGCCGCTCACGCTCATGGAATTCCCCATCGACACCGTCAATGAATTCCGATCTCGCATGGGTTGGGTCCAACCGGTTCGTACGCCGTCATTCCCTCAATTCGACCCTCCCAACTTCTACATGAGCGAGAACGTGATGCAAGGTACTCCTCCTTCGACGACTTCGTATCTGCCGTATGGGGACAACCCAGCATTCAGCTGGAGCACTGAGGATCTTTCCGTGATGGGTCCTGAGCAGGAGTCCGGCAACGCGGTTAGTCCTTTGGTCATCTCTTCGCCGTTTCCGAGCCAGCAGTACCTCAGCATTCCGTCGCCTTCGTACGGAGGCTACAGCCCGGTGTCTTCCACATTCGGAGAGGGTTCCATCGCATATAGTGACCACGATGAATTTGGCTCGTGGGATTCTGGCATGACGGCCTATCCGCCTCTTGGCTCTGCAGGGCCCAGCAACTTTGGTGTCGGGTTCGTCTCTCCAATCCAGACCGTGTGGATCTAGGCTCTGAAGTCCCACATTGGCTCTCCGTTTTGACGTGGAAGAGGATAAAAATGATTGACCATACCGCTCAGGAACACCAATGCTCAGCATCCACCATCTTCGTCTTCAAATTACCTCCCGTTTGAGGTTCCAATGCAGCAGCAGGACTATGCACCTTCACCATTTCTCAAACCCGATCAATGGCACGGATTTCCTACGGAATCGACTACTCCTCTTTCTCTCTCGGCGCCATCACCTAGCTTCATGACGCCTCAAATGTTCCCACATCATCACCACCGGCAAAATTCCTCGGTATCATCCGCCCCGATACCATTCAAGAGAGAACGCGAGGAGTGATCAGATCCATCTTCTTCACGACTACGCGCAATGCCCGACGCCCGATTCCTCCCCGAACTAAACTTTAATATCTTTTTTCCGACTTTACCACAGACGCAATTGTACACCACACTCCTTTGACTGGATTCAAAGACACACACCACACATACACAAGTCTATATCGACACAATGATACCCACGGTCCTTATGTTACACGAAACGCATAATACATATTGCATAATGAACAAGCTTACGACGCTCCTTATGATACCATCGAAGATACCCAAAATTAGACGCTCCTTTCGCAAGATATCGCATTATATAGACCGACCATTTACGTTCCTTACGACTCACGACGATTTCTATACAACAGTAATAGAATCTCAGCCGCTCCTTTCGGAAAATGCATTGTTTTTAATCAACAGGATACCCCTCCTCCCTACCCATCATCACCCTCAACCAAATTGCATAGCGACTGTTTACAACACTTCATCCGGGAATAAAAATCCGACGACCTCACGGGCGGTCATCACATGCATTGGGACGGCGTTATTTGTTTTTTGTTATTTTTATTTTTTTATTTTTGGAATATGATTTTTTGGAATAGAGAAGATCACATGTTGGGATAACAGTGGAGGCTGAAGATCTAAGAGCGGCATAGTAGCAACGGAGGCCATGGAGCTGTTGCGAAAAAAGGGAATAATTGGAGTTAATGGCGTTGTCTTAATTGGACTGATTCTGAAGCGAAATCACTATCAGAGGAGGAGGGATGTGCGAACTGGAGGTTCGAAACGGGAGCATATAGTCATCGCTTGCTGCTCCATGGCTTGGAAGACATGAGGGTTAATACCGGCAGCAACAAGCCGATCGTCGGATCTGGCTTGGATGCTCGCAGACGGCGACATGGTTTCGCCCACTCGCGGATAACTAATATTAATTGTAATACAAGGAAACGCGGTGCTTCTAATACCAATATCATTTTTGTATTCTCAATCCTTTTTTGAATATTGAATTTTGCCGTTATTTGGTGTTTTGTGATTTTTTACTACTAATCAATATGGGACTAATATGTGTGGAAGCCAGTAGCATGTCTGTGCATCCAATATTTCGGCGGAACGTTACAATCTGATCCGAGCAGATGCTAGAATAGGTACCTAGTCACGAGGCATCCCCAACAAGAACTCGGTCCCCTTAGACTCGCATTCGCTTAGCATTCAGTTTTAACCCTACGTAGAAAACAACCTCGTCATTCGAGTCGGGACGAGCCGCATTATGTCTCAGACAACCAAGTCAGTCTTGGGACTTTGCTTACTCTTCCTACCCTTGAACGGACTGGGCATCCTATCGCTTAGGCAGGTCGGCTAAGTTGTCCCGAACGCGTTGGATTCGTTGGATGAGTTAACTATTGCAAGGTCTCGTGCCCCCGGCAAGTTTTACAACGACCCTGACTACCCTCGTCACGTTCTTGACAGCATTCGATCTACCAGTTTTGGGAGGCTGAGCCAGACTAATCGGCCGGACCCTGATTAGGCTGGACGCCGGCATTATCAGCATTGTTCATAACAGAACTATCCTAAGCCTAATGACCAATTATATGCTGCGCTCAGGGGGTCAGCCGCGTTATACGAGGTTTTGCTACGAGGCTATCTATTCTTAGACTAGGTGCCTTTTATTTTATTCTCGCATTTTTACTACGTAATGTTAGGTACCTACTGCTCAGAACAAAGGCACGATTCAGCTCAGCCCGCGGCGCCACTCCATTCATGTTACTTAGGTGTGTTGTCGTCCCATTATGTCACAGCATCATGACAAAGATCATTAGATCATCGAGGTATAAGAGGAGGGGTTATGCAGCCCTATGAGACGTTACACTCGAACGACTTGCCACAACTCGCCACGCCGTTAATCCAATCTGCAATTGCAATTGCAATTGTCCAATGCTATTTTTGTCGGCGGTGGCTTATTGCGTCACATGGCTTACGCTCTAGATCCTCGCCGTCGTCGGAAGGCCATAGGGCTTGTGATATCGTGCGTTTCGCCGTTGTCGTGAGGTGACGGAAGTGCGGAAAGGGCCCAGGTTCTTCCAAGTTATCATTACCGCTTCGGCGTCTGCCCTTCCGGAGCCACCCACAATTTCCTCGCCGTGGCGGAACAACTTATCGGGTATGCCGGTTCTACAATATCCTTTACGCCGATGCTATCCTCGGCGCAAGCAGGTTTCTCTTAGTCATAGAAGCCGCTGCCTGGGTCTTCAACTCCTAAAGCGAAGAGTAACTAGAACAGCGAGACTAGGCGCCTATGGACACTGTATGCATAGTATTTATCTAGATGCATAGTTCTAGGCCTCGAGCAGTTTACAGGACCTGAACGGAGTGTGTGCCCTTTAGGGCTTTGGGCATGATTCCCATTGGACAGTGGCCAACCTCTCATTCACTAAGCATGCTATCGTTTATCGAGCTTGCTAAGATTCAGGAAATAGGGAGTTGTGGGATCGATCTACCCAAACCATCGAGCATGTACCACCCAAGACTACTGATACACAGCTTAGTATTGCGGTGCTTTCCCTCCGTCCCAGTTCAATACATGGCTCTAGAACGCTGCACGATTGTCCAGTTTACATAGCGGCACGGTCTGTTCTTCAGGCACTGTGGACAATCACCAATCATGGTGACCCTTACTAGGCCTTGAAATGGCTACGATAACCCGTCTGTGCAGTAGTGTTTCCATGAGCACATATATATGCGCGCCTCTTACGTTCAACTTACCATGACGATCTACAGGCCGCGATGGCTCGATTATCAGCGCCCAAAATCCCCTTCGTCTCTTAGCTGAGGCGAACCTATGGTTTCTCAGGGGTCGATCTATGATGCTATCAACACCTGCACTTTTCTCTCCCCCCTTTAAGCCCAGCGAGATCGACTTCCACCTCGGAGCTTTGAACAGCCTATCTCTGAGTTTAGAGTTGTATAGCTTCTCTACGACGTCAACTCAATTTCATACCTACCACATAGGGATAGGTACGGCAACCTTCGCAAGATACCGGAAGACGACAGGACGAGAAACTAACGGTGGTTAGTGTTAGGAAGCAGTAGCTATCTCCATAGATCAGCCAGTTGCCATGATTTTTCACGACTAGTAAATAACTAGACAAGTACCATTTACTCTAGTCGATGGTAGGTACAAGTTATCGGATATGTATACATACTGCATGATTCATCCTTGTCCCAATAAGGACGCTGCTGATGTGACGCTGCGTCTCGCCTGCAGATAGATGGTGCATATGTGGACAAGTTATACAGCTTCTATTGCATCTTAATAGAACCAATCCATAGGCTTACTGACAGGCACAGTAAATACCAAGACAAATAGGGAGGCAAGAAACCCATCCTATAGTAGAAGTTGAAGTTATACTCAATTTTAATCAAAAGTTCTGCCCATCTCGACGAATTTCTTTTTTTTTTCTCATACCAAGCGAGACAATCCGTTCCTTGTGCTACAGACTTATTTTTGACGCTTGTTACCTGCTCGTCCAACCCCCAGCCTCCGATGATATTTGGTGGTGACCAGAATCTCGTATTCGCTAGCCCCATAGGCGCCAACGGCCCCTGTCAACCCAAGCACGCAGGCTCCGCTCCGAGGAACCCCCCTAAACCCCAATGGAGAATATACGCATCCATTGGGTAGGGAAATAGCCCGTTCTTGTTACATGGCACTGCAGCCACCGGTAGAAATCGAGTATAAGCTGGACCTTTGGGGGGTGTTGTGTGCGGCTGGCAGGGCGGATGAGGAGGGGAGGGGACAGAACAACTACTTGTAAGTCTTACTACTGCAAACCCTGTGAACGGACTCGAATGGTAAGGCCTTAATGCTTGAGTTAAGACATTGTAGCTTCATGGGTTGTTGGCTATTAAGCTATCCTATGTAGACATCAAGCAGTATCCGTCTTTGGTACCGTACTTCTTTCCCCTAAGGTCGAAAGACAAATCAGTGGTACGCCCTACCTAGGTAGCCGGACCATTGAATACTGGGGAATCTGAAGACGTGTCTCACCAGAATCTATCGGTAGATCTTCCTTCTTCCCCCTAGTGTTCAAAGGTTAAAAGTAACCGGCCCGGGAACTACGCGGTTACAATACATACCTCCTACCTACTTAACGTTACTTTTCTTTTTCTTCTCCTGTCGTTACTTCAAGGCTACCAAGAAACAAACCAGTTACACTACATGTTTTCGACGCCCGTCGCTCCTCACCGCGGCAAGTTGTATTCTGGAAACGGCAATAGTTCCTGCGTCAGGATAATACAGCTTTTGCAGCGGTGGAGCTAACTAATGACAGACCTGTTAACTCAAACCGAATAGATTCGCCTTTCGTCTACTATCACCCCTTGAGGTACTCTCAGCGTTTTCTCATGTATCTACTTAGACCTACCTATACACCCAGCAGCTTGCTCGAGAAAAACCACGAAACAACTCTAAGGACATGCGCTAGGTACACAGCGGCGAACTACTGCCCATTTACTATCATTCTTCCCAAGCGGTATAGTTAGTTGCCCAATCGAGTCTTGGCCGACAATTCGCAATCCAGTCTTTGCCCTAGGGATTCCTCCTGCCTTAGGTTAGGTCATGTACCTGGTAGCACTTTATCAGTTACCTAGGAGGAAGAAAAAATATCAAAGAAAAAAAAGTTTCCATCACAACGTTGCTTTTGGCTAACACACGTACGACACACAGGGTACCTATCTTGATGTGCTACGAGTAAACAAATACTTGGGGGAAATATCCCAGGTTGTGCTCCTGCCTAGAAATCTAATCTAGGTTAACAATTTTGTCATATACCGAAGTTAATTTGCGTTGATAACCTGAAGAACAGAAGATTGCAGTCAACTCGGAGAGCCAAGGTGGAGCATATCACATGGCTAACGTGTATAGGATGCATTGAATGTATATTACCAAAGCTCCTTTTCACCACCCTTTTACACAGGTTACCAGGTACTAGGTATACCACACCCCCCGAGGATATATTTACGAGACGATATTCCAACATGTGCACTCGGGTATAAAAGCCCATGCATGACCAATGACCCATTCCTCCCGAATACTCATTGACAACTAAACACACTGCAAACCTTTAAATAAAACAGAGAACGACCAGGAGAAACTGATAACAGAAAGGAAAAGGGAGATTCTCGGCTGTGGAAATAAAATTAGGTGTAAATGATACAACAAAAGGCATGGGCCCGCCAGCGTCTTATCCCATCTATTACGAACTCAGGTGAGCCTTCCAAGGAGCAGTAGTTCTTTACAGAGGAAGAGAACAGTCTACTTATCACCCAGTCCCTAGAAATATATAGAGAAGTATAGGTTTAGGTATTTCTCCATAATACCTATCCCCCTATCTCGCGAACATGGGGAGAAACTACCTCAAGAGGTATCTAATGTAAAGTAGCTGACGACTTTCACATTCTCTCAGACTAAGGAGTTTCACAGTAGGTACTATCAAACTTAGATGCAGTGGCCAGTGTTATTATTTATCAAGCACGAAATTAAATACACCATAACTCAGAAGGCGCTGGGCCAAGAGTTAATACTAGGTAAGTTAGGAGGTAGTCAACCTTGTAGGGCTGGTGGATAGTCTAAGTAAACGCCTCAAACACACTTATTAGTTGAAGTTACCTATAGTAGACTGCCCACCGTGATAGAGAGGCTCTTATAGGCCTGTCTCGGCTATACCATCACTTCTTATGTACCATTCTCATCCGCCATTGCCCCAAGACTGATCGTATCCAACTATAGCGAGCGATACCAAAAGAAAATGAATAAAATAAAACAAAATAAAGCTTTTAGGAAAGTCAATAGCCCATCATCTATGCTACGCCATCACTCGCAGATTCTATACCTTTCCGCGCGCTAGCTACCTCTTATATTGCCACACCAGTTGGATTCTTCTTTTGGTATCTCGTTACCTATCCCATTAATTAGGTACCTAGAAAAAAGCGATATCCTCCTCCTTACGCCTCCTAAACCGAACCGTCGCCTTGCCGGGCGACACGAAGCTCTGTCCGCGCAGGCGGGTTTCCGTGCGTGTCCCTTGCGCCTCGAAGTCGTAGTGCGCGATGATATACGCCATCATGAGCTTCGCCCCGGCGGCTGTGATAAAGCGGCCGGGACACGCGTGAGGCCCGTACCCGAACGACGTATATTCGGCGGTTGCATGGGACCAGCCGCCCTGCCCCTTCCGCTGGGGACTCGTCGGTGTTGCCTAGACAGGTAGACAAGGTCAATGTCGGGTGATATTGCTTGAGCAGTGAGCTGTATTGTTGATAATCATTGGGAGGTTATTAGATGTGGTTATGAGGTAAAAGAAAGTAGATGAACATGAGAAACCATTGAATTCTTTAAAAAGGTACCTAACCTAGGATGACCAATTTGGAGTAAGAAGTGAAGTTTAGAAAGTGCAATACCATGCTTAGATACTGCCATAATAACTTGTTTTACACCCCTGAATAAGTACATCAACCTAACATGGAAGTCTTAACCCGTGCCTTTTCCTTTTATTTTCCCTTGCCAAAGTCCTACCTACCTAACCCAAGGTAAATGCCATAGAACCAGAACCACCCTTTCCATTGTTGTACAAATCCATCCTATGATTTCCCTCTTATGCCCGCCAACAAAACCACCCCAGATACGAATCAAAATGCGACAACTCCTAGAAAACTTCCCCCCGTCCGGCGGAGCTAAAAAGCAGACCATCCCTAATTAAACCCATATCCTTATTCGTAACCTTTGGGGAAACCCCCCAGCTGTACCCTCTCGTGACTAGTAGGAAATTCGTACCCTGCGACCCGTAACAGGTTGTTACCATAACCATAACCGTAACCCTCTCTCTTAAGTAAACCCAACCCCTCCCCCCGGGAGGACAGTGGGGATTCTGACCGGACCTGATCCACTCTTATCCGCATCCGGGGAGAAAGGGGGGGCGGGGCATCCTTCTCTCCCGTCATAGACACTGGAGTTTGTCTTTGCGCGACTTAGATTTAATATAATATCAGACCCATCCATCGACCTTTCCAACCCCCCCTTCGCCCCCTACCGCTCCTCCAGCACCGCCTTCACCCTCTCCAACCTTCCCACCGCCCCCTCCAGGCGATCCAGACGATCCCTCTTCTCGACATCCCTGCGCTCCAGCACCAAAACCCGCTCCTCCAGCAGCGCCCGCGCCCGCCGCTCGCTCGCCACCATCTCGTTCGCCTGCTCGAACAGCGTCACGCTCAGCTCCTCGACTTCCTTGCTCGTGTCCCGGAGCTTCCCCTCCGCTTGGGCCCGCAGCTCCCGCTCCCGCGACAGCGCTTCGAGTAGCTCGTTCGTCTGCCCTCCGTTGCCGTTCTGTATAGCTGTTGTTGTTGTTGTGGCGGTCGGTGGTGTTATCGCTGCCGTGGAGATCGAACCCCGGGCCCCGTGTGACGCCAGGTTCGGCACCGACTTGCGCGGCGCCAGCAGCTGGCTTATGCGCGCGGCGGCACCCGCGGGTAGGAACGTGGACCTCGGACTACCATTGCTATTGCTATTGGTATTGCTATTTCTATTGCTTGCGCTGGTGTTGTTGGTGTTGGTGGTAGTAGTACCGACGGACGTGGTGGACGCGGCGCGCAAGCGCGAGAGCTCGTCCTCGTAGTCGGCCCAGCGGTCGACGGCGGCGGCGGCCTTCTGGTTGAGGAGGCGGACCTGGGCCTCGAGGTCTTGGATCTGCTTCTGCGCGCGGAGGAGGGCGATCTGCGCGTCGGACGCGGGGGGGAAGGTGAGTCCGCAGTTCGGGCAGCAGGATGTCGTCGTGCCGGATGCGCTGCTCGTAGAAGTGGCGTTAGGGGTGGCTGTCATGGTGCTGGATATGGGTATCGCTGGGAATGTCATTGTCATTGTGGCCATGTCGGCCACTGGTTATGTGTGTTTTTTTATAGCCGGATAAAAGAAGGCTTGCTTTGGTTTCGCGGGAGGAGCTTCGTTGGTGGTGTGGTGGCTTTTTGTTGTTCCCGGAGTTGCGGCGGCAGATAGAGCGAGATATGTTTTGCTCTGGTTGGAAATTCCAGTGATGTTGGTATGTATTGTACCTAAAGAACCTAGGTACTGTAGGTACTTAACGTAGGTACGTATATATAGGTACCTTATTTGGTTTGATATTGGGCGACGAGGGTAGGTAAAAAGGCCTGAGTTAATAATGGAATAAATAACCAAAATTTCGGATCCCTTCTTATTCAACCGGTTACCTTTCTGCTAATTTTCATAATTCGTTTGTATTTCAATTGCTCTCGTCGTCAGGTCGAAGTTTACAAAATGAAGTATGCGAAATAGGGAATATCGCGGGCAGGAACAGGACTGGCCAAGCTGATGCCGGGGTTGGCTGCTGTGGTTGGCTGCTAGGTGTTAGCGTTGCAACCTATAAGACGCTAAGTTATTTGTGGTGGCGGGGCAAGGTTTTGTGTAACCAGACCCTGATTTCAAACAATACTGCGCCTCGCTATATACATACCTAACGTAGTATGTACTTGCCCGTGTATTTTCGGGGAGCTGGTACATAGGTACCTCAATTGTACTTGTCTTGAAGTCCTTTTACCAATATCTTCAAATGCCTTACCTTCAACATCCCAATAAATTCTTTTGCTATTGCTATAATTCCTAGCCTCGATTAAATCGTTTATTCGATCTGATAAAGCTACAGAAATTCAATTGCTATTTACGTATCACCCTGCACCCTGCGCACTAGTGGCGTGGTGCGTTACATAGTACACAACAAACGCATGGGGGTTGAGTTCTGACGTTGTGGAGGATCAATAAGCCTTATGAAACATCGTCAAACAATACCTTCCTAGGTATCATTCAGGCTCAAAGTAGGGGGTTAATACACACGACTTATTCAAGCATCACAATAACTAAGGGGGACGAACGATTACCTAGATAGATCTAGACGTTGAGTTCTATATTTCTTTTTCTTTGAGTCGTCAGCTTTCATTCCACGAGCTATCTAACTCGTTGACAAGGTGTTTGTGTATTCGTGTTGCTTATACCATGGCTGAGTGCCAATACATTCTGCAACTGGTGCTTAAACCTGGTTTGTAAACCGGCTAACATACCAACGTCCATGTTAATTTAGCTCAGTACGCTCGAACGGACATCAAATTTCTCTCGAGCCGGGACATTTAGAGATTCTTCGTCTCGCATTATCCTCCGTAGGTATGATTAGGGTATCCCTGGTTATATCTTCTAACACTGGTTGAAGCAATTCGAGCATAATTGTTCGAAACTTTGAACCGGTACAAGATCATAAAAGGGGGCGTTCCGATGGTCCCTAAATTGTAAGCCAACTTGAAGCTTTTCATCATAGGTACCAAGTTATCTCCAACCCCGAGACCGTATATTTAGGCAATTAGGAGTGCTCAGAACGGCTTAGCGACCTTCCGAGGCTCACTTATGCCCGTCTCCGGATCTTTATACTCTTTCCAGCTAACGGGGAACATCGGGTTTCCAGCCTCGCTTGTGGCCATGATGACGCCGAGCTCGTTGCTCGCGGTCGAGAGGTAATAGTTAGCCTGGTCGCCGAGCGAGATCTAACAAGACACAATAAACGTTAGTCGACACGTATTCCCTTCACAGATTCAAATTTTGTGGGACAAATATGTAAAAATGTGTATATGTCTGTGTGTGTGTGTGTGTGTGTGTACTCACCACCTGCGCCCTCACAATATCGCCCGGCCGGAAGCTCTCATATATCTTTACCCTGTCCTTCTCCGTAGCCCGAACATCCTGCACCCGGACCAAGCCCTGCCACTCCGCCTCGAGCACCGTATCGCCAACAACAAGAATCGCGACGGACGCGTGCCGCGGCGTGATGCGCGTCACCCGGCATAGAACCACGTTGCCGACTTCCGGCAGGACCTCGCGCTTCTCGGAAACGCCCGAGCGGGAGACGGAGATCGTAGGTAAGGAAGAACTGCTGCTGCCGCTGCTGCTGCTGCTGGTGTTATTGTTGTTACCGCCGCTGCTGTCATTATTCCCTGCTGCTAGCGCCGCTATCCTCGTCAGCCTCTTCGCGGGTCCGCGCGCCTTCTCGGGCTGGGCAACCGTCACCGCGCCCAGCAGCGACGAATACAAGTTCGAGTCGTGGATGTGCGTCCCAGCGCCCGCGGCGTAGCGATCCGCGGGTCCTAAAAGCTGTCCGGGGACCGCGACCGTCTGCGTCATGTTGGCGCGACAACGAAAACAGAATTTTTTTTCCTTTTTTTTTTTCCTTTTTTGGATCGGACACTTTTCAAGGTAAAGCTTGGTAATCACGGGTTAAGAAATTGTCGTTTGGTAGGGATTAATTAGTGATGTAATAAGCAAGGTTCCCTGTAGACGCTGACGGACTGGCTCTGCTCCGAAATGCAGATGTTGAGCCGATAAAATCTTTAGATAAGCGATAACAGATACGAATACGATCCCGGGTACGGATCGCATGGTACGGCGTTTGTGAGATGGTGCGATCCGGCTGTCTGGTTTACCGGGGCCCCACTTTTGACGCTACTATTAGAGCTCAGACCCCTATTTTTGGGGGGGTTTTTTTGACAGGTACGCACCCACTAAAATGTTTATTATAAATTATAAATTAGCTTTTCGAGATGTGTTAGTAAATTTCTTGGTCTAGTCTTTATTTATATTCGAGTCGGTGGCTTTTGTTTTCGTTTTCCGTTCGTCTCGTTGTTTCTCGGTATTTTGCCTGTTTCTTTGAATCGCATAGGAAGTAGCCATGGCGCCCAAAAAGTCAACATCTGCACCGGCACCCAAAGCCTCATCGTCCGGCTGTTTTGTCAAGTTGCTCACCATCATCGGTGTGCTAATCGGCATATTCGCCCCGATCGCCTACGTGCTTGAGCAAAACCTCGAGAAGTTCTACATCTTCAACTTGGAAGAGCTGCAGGACGTGTCTTCCCGAGCTATCACGGCTCACGGCAACGACACCGCCAAAATCGTCGACTACATCGTCGCCGAGCTGTACGAGAAGTACCCGGCCCATGTAAACCCCAACTGGAACGTCACCGAGGAATGGATGTTCAACAATGCCGGCGGCGCCATGGGCGCCATGTACCTGATCCACTCCAGTAAGTAACCAACCCTCCCACGACTACCAGCTAGTCTCCAAAACTAACACGTTCTCTTTTTTCAATAAAAAAAGGCATCACTGAGTACCTCATCATCTTTGGGACGGCGGCCGGCACGGAAGGCCACTCGGGACGGCACACGGCGGACGACTACTTCCACATCCTAACGGGGGAGCAGTGGGCGTTCGTCCCCGGCAAGTTCGAGCGGGAGGTGTACCCGGCGGGCAGCGTGCACCACATGCGCCGCGGCGACGTCAAGCAGTACAAGATGCCCGAGAGCTGCTTCGCGCTCGAGTACGCCCGCGGCTGGATCCCCCCCATGCTCTTCTTCGGCTTCGCCGACGGCGTCTTCAGCACCCTCGACGTCCAGACCCTCTACCGCACCGTCGTCGTCACCGGCCGGGAGACCATCCGGAACCTTCTGGTCGGCAAGATATAGATTTTAGATTTAGATTTAGGGGGGGCTTGTTGTTATGAGTTATTCTAGAGTTGTACAGAAAGCTTTTTTTTGTCTTCGCGAGCACGGCTAATTAGAATACTATAGACGGCTAGAAGCGACAGTATATTGTAAGAATATATCGCACCCCCAATAATGATAATACAACTATCGCCCAAAGACCAAATTCGTATTAAGCACCTAACATGATACTCTGATAACCAATCCTACATTACCTAGGTACCTACCTGATGTTAAAGCATTTAATTAAGAATACTATCCAGCTCGGGTTGCACGGAAACCTCTTTGGGAGGTTGAATCTGATATACCGTAGCTAGCTGAAGCTTCTAAGCACCCAAGGAATACCTTTCTATTCTAGATGGTATTCCATTCTATGCCGCATAGTACCTCGGTGATACTCCCCTAGACGCAATGCTCTTTTCTAATCACATGCCTCTCAGTAACTAAAGCACAACGCATAGCTTTGTGATGAGTGTTTTCACAATCCAATGCACCCACTATGCAATCGCCACGTAGTGCTTCCTCCACAGATCCATCCCTTCCAGTTTATTCGTTCCAGACTCCAAGCCCGAGATATCTTCTAGTATGCGCCAATCATAGACCCCCACCCACTCGCGCTCTCCATTCTTTTTCGTCAACCCAGCTTCCCCAATGCTTTTAATAAACGATGATGTGGCCTCCACACGTCTCGACTCGACGAGACAGATCTTGCGCACCCGGGACTTTCTCGTCTTCTTTAGCGAGGCGTCCCATTTATATGCGAAGCTAGGCGTAGGTTCTTGAGACCATGTGTTGGGATCCGTTAAAAAGTTATCTATGCCGTGATCTCCTAGCAGGTTTTCGGTTACCCATGCGTACTGCGAGATACAAGGTGGCAATAGAATAGAGCGGTTAGCAAGTATGCATTTCTCGCCGACGAAAGTACATCGTCCATGAGTCAGACACCGCTCAGAAAAGTTGGTTTCTCGAGGAGAATTAGACGTTATTATAGAAGTGGTATTGGCGAGAGATAACTCGGTGGGCGATTCTGCCAGTTGAGCCCATGAGGGACCAGGGGTTGCCACTTTTGATGCTTCATTTTCGGTACTTGCGACATGGTATCCGAAAGATGGGTTGGCGTCAATCTGGCCGAGTGGCTGCCTCTTCTTTGGAGTATTTGGGGCATTTGATGATAGTTCACTGAGATTATCCATTGACTGTGACTGTTGAGACGGGGTATCAGCAGAAAGCCGTAGGCTTTTGGTGGTTACCGCTGCATCTGAGGCATGCCGTCTTTTACGTCCTGTATGCACTGGGGATTTCTGAGAAACATTAGTTATGGTATGGTTGTCCTCATCCTCGATGACTAATGGCTTCAGGGGTAACAGTAGGTGTTTACTGTTTATTTTTACTGCATCGGGAGATGACAGTTGGGGCTGTTCACAGGAGCGTAGGTATTCGTAAGGGTTTGCTATCGAAGTGGTTTGGGCTTCCTTTCCCTGGCAATTCCCACTACTAGATGGCCTTGGTGCTGCTCTTGGGCCAGTCGTATGGCTCTGCTGGCTGATGACGTCCACAGCTATTCCTCCTGGGTCGGCCTTTTCTAACGCCGAAATCCATTCGCGCATCTCCTGACTATCTTCAAGCTCAGGTATTTTGGTTGTATCTGAAGCTAACTCCCGTAGCTCCATAAAACTGATAGTATCCAAGTATGATCTATCATGATGAATCTTAGAGACCAATGGGAATCTCATGCTCCAGAAAGTCGTATTGGGTGCCTTGTCGAATGCAAAGCAACGCATGTCGAACACCAATGGTTCTAAAAATATATCGGCTGGCTGCTTGTCTACCTTTCCTAGCTTGAAGTCCAGTATTATAGACTGGTTTGAATCAAACGGGACTGGTGATGGAAAACATTGAGTCATAACTGTCCCTAGAAGGGCCTCGGAAAGAAGGACAACATTGGTGACTATAAATCGAGGTTTCTCAGTGCCTGCTCGAGCTTTCTCCCTGTTATCCAAGCACCCAATGAAGAAGTGCGTCCATTTGATATTGGGTCGCTTATACTCCCTTGCCTTTGCTGCATCATAAGAGGCGCCAACGACAGCAAGATCTCCCACATCTCCCCACCCTTGAACATACTCCTTTTTCAGTTTAATATTGCAGCAGCTGAATGACTTTTGTGCTGTGCTAAAGTTGAAATATGGTTCGTCAGGCTTCAAGACCAGGCCTTCGCCACGACTGACTATGCATTTTGCAAAGGCTTCACGTAGCCTCAACGCAGCAGATGGCCGTCCGAAGGATATGATCTCACGGGGTACTAGCTCAGCATAACCCTTCCGACAAGTTACGAGGTCCGTTAAACGCTTGAATCGTTCGAATTGTTTGGCTCCAAGTAATGATTCATCCTCGATAAGTAGAATATCGAAATACACTATCATTAAATGCTCGTAATCATGAGGCCTATTTCAAATTTAGTTAACAGCCCTACACCGTTGATGTGTGATGCCATACTGAGAATCATAGTGGACCCCTATAAAAGAGCCTGAGCGCGAAACGTGCTTACGAATTTTATGAAATGGTAAAATTTGGTTGTCCTGTGTTTTGGTTAGCGCCTACTATTCGGAGTCGAGTGACGTTAAAATGTTACCTTGGAACTGTATACCACCATTTCCCCCTCAAGAATACACCCAGTCTTCAAGGGGCAGTCTGGTGTTCCCAGTTTTAATGAGTCTCGAATGGCCCTACGATAGTCAATAGAGTGGCAAGAAAGGGGTTTGAACGGTGGCTTACTGATGAAGGCCGATTCGATCCTGGGTGCTATCTTTCCCACCCTTGGAAAATATCTGAATAGGGGAATAAGGCTTGCGGAGATCAATGTGAATTTGACAGTACTCTCCATCAATCTTTTGCTCGCAACTCATGTCCCGAGACCTACCCATATCTAGACAGTGCTTTATACTTCTTCCTTTAAGCCATGTTTGCCGACCAACTTTTGTCCCGATAGATGGTTTTAGCATACTAGCAATGGCAGTTTGGGCGTAAGATGGCTGCTTGATTTGCCGTAGGAATGTAGTGGCTGTAATGAACTCATCCCTTACTTTCATCAGTTGGGGTAAGAGAACGTTATAGCAACGAAAAACGAGACGTTCATCTATCACTACCGGCTGGTAGTTCTTTAATATTAGCCTTGTAAACCATTTCGCATCGCGTGGGCTGAGTCGTCTGTAAATAGTAACTAGAGATTGATCCTGGTCTCTAGAATCTTGAGCCCTACGCGAAGCCCTAACTGAAGGCGAGCTAAATCGACACGCGGCTGCAACGCAGGTTAAAGTATCATCGACTTCTTCTACCGTGGGCTCATTACAATCTTGCGTATCATTAGGCTTTGGAGGCGTTAGCAACTTGAATGACTACAAGAAGAAAAGGGGAGTATTCTACGATAATCAAGTTGATTTTGGCTGCTTTTGTTACTTGGAAAGATTACCCACCGTGCGTTTCAAGATGCCTTCAATGCAATCGGCAAGATCTACGCCAAGGCCAGGAGTCCTGTATCTTCGTAGTTCTTGCAACCTCGAGGCCCCAAGAAGTAAGGCTTTACCAAATATGGTTTCAAGCCTTGCGGTTTGGATAAGGTAGACTCTGTCTGTCCTTCTCTCCGGCAACAAAGTGGATAATATAGCGCTTGGATCATTCTCAAATACATCGAGGCGGGAGCGGTGCTCACGAAACCATGCCTCGATTATGTTCCTCGTAGGAATTTGTTTACGCTCATCTTTGTGAGACTCGTCGTCAAGTTCTTGGAGTAGGTCGCATATATATCTAAATGGAAACGGCATTGTAACCACGATATTCGCATATGCCGATATTTGATAGAGAGAGAAAGAAAAAGAAATACCACAGAAGGGAAATATCAACCTTCATGATTATGTGCTTATAATTATATTATAGGCAGTAGAGAGTGCATTGTCTCCGACGCGTATAGTGTAAGGTGGAAGAGAAAAAAATGTTCTTGTGATAGGTATTCGTTGTAATGCCTGATGTCCTTAGTGCCGTCCATTGTAGGCGTTCAAAGTATCACAAAGACTAACATTGAAATTGTGCTGCACAATTTGTGCAGGCACCTGCCTTGGTACAAACCTTATCGCGCTTAATTCATGCTTGTGTGTTTGACGCGACACAGCTTACGGGTGTTCACGTGAAATTGTTTAGCATTTGAAGATACTTGAGGACCTAACCTAGGTACCTAGGTACATTTATGAAACTGGCCATCATGTATGTTACACGCGTATGTCTGCTACCCGGGTGTGGGTTACAGTATCTTTTAAAGCATGGCAGCATGCCTTCTTCAGCACCTGGTTGCACCATTGAGAAATCCCCACTTAGCGAGTGGACGTCATTTATTTAGTCTATGCATTGCCGGGACTTGCGGGCTAAAAAGAAAACATCTTTCCAATCAAAACACTGGCAATTTTCCGCAAAGTTGACGGGCCATCCGACACCTCGTCACTCACGTTTTTGCCCCTGAATGCACAAAACAGCCCATGCAGCCCATGAGATGAGCGGACGATTAATTTTGTGGGGTCTCTCCATCTTGTTGACCAGGGATCGAGAGAAACAATCAGCGCAAATACATAGTAGAGGTACCTGAGGTAACGAAATGAAATTAAAGCAAACCTCAGAACCCGAACTGATTTTCCATCAAGTTCCTAAGTTCCTTGCTGCTATCCCGATTCCCCCCTCATCATCCCGTCGTACAATACTTAATAATAATAGATCTCATCTCTCTCGTTTTATTTTATTTTTATTTTCGTCTTGTCATCCGACCGACTAGCCTACATAACCTTTATTTTTTGTTTTTTTTAGAGTGTTCGAGCCTTACGGTACAATACTATACAATACAACCCGCGATAATTCTTTTTCTTCATTTATTAACATACACCCTAAACAGCTACCTATCCTTACATATAGCGTATAATTTATAGTTACCTATTCCCTAACCATATTCTGCAAACCTCTTAATCCTATCCCTCTTCTGGAAGATAATGGGCTTCCTAAGCCCCGGTCAACCCCAGCTATATTCCAGTCTTATCATTCGTCGCCTAACAAGTTCCAGCTAACTCTGCAACTGAACTGTATTGTACATCGCCCCCCCTTCCCACCCCCCCGGGCGACGCATACAAGTCTGTGTGGTTCTCTGTGGTGCTGCGTACCCCCTCCCCAATTTCCCATCCCAGCATCTGAAGCGAGCTCCACGTCTTCCGCCCTGAATTTCGATCCCCATCTGCCTCGGGTGGATTATGTTTTCTTATGTCTATGAAACCCGCTCAACTTTTACAAATTTGCTTGATAACATCTCGTTTCCACCCTCTCTTCAATGACAAGAGACTTAACAATATAGTTTCTGTTTTATATTCTAGACGCTCTTTTACTAGGAGGACTAGGCACCGTCGTGCCATTTTGTCCCCAGCCACTCCTTTTCAAAACCAGCGGTCAATAGAAAACTTCACCGCACAACTTTTATACTCTCGTTCACCACACAAAGTTATCAACCCTTTTACTGGGGCCAACATGAGTCGGGGCCTACAGGAATCCGCTCTTTCACTAGATGCGGTTCTAACTTCTCCCCTTAAAATGGCTACCGGTGTGCACTCGATCAGCTACTCTACCAATGGCTCTTACAGTGGTCAGGTTCCAACGTCGCCCCGTGCTAATCATCTAGAGAGTGCTGGAGAGAGCGGAGCGGCGGACGGGGACGGGGACGCATATTCGAGTTCGATGCCATCTCCACCATCTCTAAGTGAGATATCTCGGACGAGGTCCACTCGTTCTACCTCGACAACATCACGAAATTCCAATCGATTGTCATTAACCTTGCCGATCGCGCCACCTGATAGTGTCCCGTCGAGGCCCACGCCCACTTCTTCGGTGCCGCCCACCCCAGGACCGGTGTCAGGACTGAGCTCGCCAATTGATGCAAATGACTTCATTATCGCTATTGCCGCCCAAGAGCGTCGCGTATTAGAACTTCGTGAAGAATTGGGCCGAGCAGAGCATGATCTTAGAAGGCTGAAGAAGCAGTGGACAGCCTCCGATGGTTATAAGAAGCGGGCAGCTGCTAAAAACTTTGACCCTCTTCGCGCTGCATCCGTGATAGATGGACCGTGGGCCCATGATGATCCAACAACTGTCAGATACACCAGCGAACTAGAACGTAGGAAAGCCATCCTTCTTGCACAAAGCCGGGCAGCACCTCGAGACACCAAAAGGACAATTATCCGGGGTGGACACACTCGCGCTTTGTCCTTACTTTCACCTACAACATCACCAAATGGAAACGACCCGCTCCGATCACCGGATTTATACTCAAAACCGTCGCCCGTCTCTACTCCTCTTCTCAGTAAGCGCGCAACATGGGCTCCTCGTCAAAGCCAGCCGACCCATGGTATGAAGCAAATCGCAAATGATTTTAAGCAAGGCCTTTGGACGTTCGTCGAAGACTTGAGACAAGCGACTGTGGGGGATGAAGCAATTTCTGGGACAACAAATAGAACAAGTGATATGGTATCAAGGTTAAATAGAACAGAGACCGAACAGGACACTATTCGAGCGTCTACTTCGAGCCGCGGCAAAATGCCATTCCAAGACGAATCCGATTCCGCGACGGAAGCACCGAACAGATCATCCACCAGTAGTTTCAGCGACCGTTTGCAGCACAGACGCTCAACATCGAAGGTGGAACCCAAAGCACGAAAACATTACTCTTGGACGCCACTACCACTCGATAGCCTCTGCGATGACGATTGCTCCAACTGGGATATATTAAATGCGAAGCCATCCCGCTGGAGCGGAAGCACGGTAAACGGGGATGACAACGCGATTCCTGAGAAATTTGGTGGTAGTGAGGAGACATTGTAAGACGACCACGATTAATACGTCCACCAAAGCATAATGTGCAAGGCACACACCATTGACCCGTTTCAGCCTACCCAATACCTGGAATACAAAGCATATCTAAGCGTCTAACATCAGCAACAGGAGACACAAACAATCCCACAGCGAGATAAGGTCGCCATCCCCAGAGACTCCAAGTAGGCTAGAAGAATTACCACAGGCCATCCTCAACAAACTGACTCCCAGTAACATAAAGAACACGACGTCGAACTTCATCAAGGAGTGGGAGAAGAGTTTGTCCCCGCCTGCGGACTCTACTTCTTCCTGAGTTAACCGCCCGAGGCCACCGCGGACCCCGAGTCACGAGCCCATCCATTTCCATTCTTGATATATGCGCGGACGAAACGTTGCGTAGACGCACGACCACCCGGATTTCGGAGGCCTGCCTACGGTTTAGGATCAACGAAATATCCCCGACAGAGACTTCGACGCCGCTTTACATTCTTATAGATACCTACCGTTTCGTTCAGAGCGTCGTGAAGACCGGGGCTCTCAGACGTGAGATTATTTGTCGATCGAGTACTGGCGCGATTCTTGGTTTGAGGTTTTGGGATACCGGCTGGATGCATCGATTTTTTGGCTACGATATTATCAACAAATAACCTAGGAGCGACGCCCCTTTTAAAGCAGGGCAAGATAAGAGAAAAGAGAAGAGAAAGGAGGGGAAAAAAACAGGTCACCCTTATCTCCTCACCCCCATCCCCGCACCCCCATGGTTTTTTTATAGGTAATATCTAATGATCACGACCGCTCATGAATGATAGACGATGATTTAAAACGAAATAGACTCGTTATCGTCGTGGTTGTCAATTTTGTCATATACTTAACCTAGCATATACGTATGAGCTTCGTACATGGTTATAGCCTACCTATTACAAGCGTTAGTATATCAAGTACTATCAAAGTACTAGTTACACATTTTAGGAATCTGACAAGTTAATTTCTCTTACATTTTGAGAACTCAGCAAGATGTGTATATATACATTGCCTAGGTACCTAGGTTAGGTAGTTTTAAGTCGTGCGGTTATATGCAAGTCCCCCGACGCCTAGCTGATGCAAACAAAATACAGAGTACGTCCTCTCGTAAAACGCTGTCCCCCTTACTACATGTCTATGAAAAGAGAGGCAAGTATGCTAGAGCCGCTCAAGGAGGGCTCCCCAACGAACCGAGGTGTTCTACGTTAGGTATATACGCCTTCGAGGAAGCAGGTGCGTCGGGAAACCCATTCCAGGACTCTTCACCAACGTCTTTGCTCTTGACGTTCGACTTGGTGGTATCCTGAGAAGTGGTCAAACTCGTGGCAGGAACGGCTTGTGCTGCTTGTGCTGAGTTACCACCATTCCCTGTCTCTTGCGACTCCGCGGCTCCTACTTCCTCAGATTTGATATCTCGGGCCGGAGAAGAAGGCTTTGAAGTTGGTAACGTCGACTTCTTGTTTGATAAGTCATCCTCTAGAGTGGTCAAGTTTTCCGGTTCTTTAGATAAGACTAGAGTCAGCTTGGTCTCGCTTCTTTTTGTTACCACCCGGCGGGTTTTGCTTGGCTCTTAGAGCGGGCTCGGAGGCTTTGCTGCGAGCTTTGCTGTTCCACTGTAATAACATGTCACTCAATTGAGGTGCCCATACGGATTCTCCTTTTGCCAGGTCTGAAAATTCCAAGCAATTAGAACTACCTAGGACAAATTCTCCTTGCCGACTTCTGCAGAGCTCTGCCATCACTGCTGCAGATCCAATCTTCACACCCAGGTCATGGCAAAAGCTCCGGACGTAAAATCCCGAGGTCACTGTCATTCGGATTCTTGCCGCTGGAGGACCTTTGTCCTCCCAAGGTGGTGGTGCGTCAGTGTCCGATGTTTCAGGTATCAAATTTGACCCCCTCCCTGGTTTGGGAGTCGCTGGAGGAAGGTCGCCAAGCGCTCCTGACATTAATGGTGTATGCTGCGAAGTTTTGCGACGCTTGTTGCTAACCCTGTCGTACACAAGCGCATCGACACTTTCGTCTGACTTTCGTTTGAATTTCTCATGCTCGTCCAAAGCCTTGGTCTCTTGTTCCTCTTCTTCAGGGGTAAGCTTCTTAGAAGTCATCTGCTGCTTTCCGATCTTCCAGACCTGTTCGGCGAAGTTGCGTTCAAATGTGGTAGCTTCCTCAGCAGGCCAACGGTAGGAATGTTGGCCAGGTTCATACCATTCAACCAAGTCGAGTTCAGCTACCGTCACTTCTCTGGTCGGAACTTCTCTCGGAATTGGTTTGCCCTCTCTTGCGTACTCATAGAGAGGCTTGCCCTCCATCTTCAATGCTGAATAAAGAGGCGGCATCTGTTGGATTTTTCCTCTGTAGGAGTTGAGCGCCTCTTCAACCATAGGCCGGGTGATATGATCGTATGCGGTCTTCTTAAGAATCCTACCAACCCTATCGTACGTATCGGTACTGGCACCAAACAGCACTACAGTCTCATACGTCTTGGTACAGTCCAGGAAAGACTGGAGAAATTTAGTACCCTTGCCAACACCTAGAATCAAAACACCAGTGGCAAGCGGGTCAAGTGTGCCGCCATGGCCCATTTTGACTCGAATGTCATCCTTGCCGAATCGACGTCGCTTCCGTTTGGTATTGGACTCTTGCGCCCTCTTTGATATCTCTTGGTCTATCATTGGCTTGAAGAAAGCAGAGGGGTTAAAGTGATGTTGACAGTCCCTAATAACCTGAGCAGAACTCATACCCATGGGCTTATTGATGGCTATGTGATAAGAACCAATGATTGTTAGCAGAAATAGACATAAGAAACTATCACCGAAGTGAGATTAATATGAGATTTCATACCAAAGACGCCATCGAGAACAGGGCTAGAAGCTGCCATTCTAGCGAATCTAGCCAGTTGCATTCGTAAGTAGAGTGCCTTAGAGAAGAAAAAGAAACAGAAAAAAAAAAAATCAATACGGTAAATTCGATTCCAGTATGGTTAGTGTAATTATCAAGCCCTCAATGCTATAGAATTGTAAGTCTTTATGTGCTATGAGCTGTTATCAGACAAAGCGCAAAGCGTCGACTGTAGAATTTTGACTGAAGGAGAATGTAAGGGTCTGGAAAACGGAATTTGAGTCAGAGGAAAAAAAAACAAAAAAAACGAAGTGCTTGTATACATGCTAGGTATGCAGCGGCTAGGTAGTTTTAGTCTAGGAATACAGGGATACTAGTTCTTATCGATTAGCGACTGCAACCTAAATTATTTTAGATAAACCCCACTATCTATAGCTTCGACGTCATTGGTCGGAACTCTCTCAGCCCACTTGAATGGGGGGCCTTACGTATTGTATTGTACGCATTAGGCTGGCCTACAATGGTAACACGGGCGGCTAGCAACTGCAACTAATCATTACCATTTTCAATTAACAGAAGGTACGATACGCGTAGCTACTGACGCTGAACCGCGTCCCAACTTCCTTACCAAATTTACATGTCTGCATGCGTTATTGTAAATCTTTTAGTTACGTAGCTGCGTACCTAAGTTAATTTTCTTTTTATCATAAACAACAACAGCATAACAACAGCAGTAACGGCACAACGTTCATCACTCTCCTTTACCAAAATAAAAATAAAAAGTTGGCGTTAGTCTTGCTAATATGAATTAATGCGCCCCGGTATCGCATTACTCTTCTCTTTTTTCTTTCTTTCGCCGAATAGTTTATCGACGTATCGACATAACGATTTCCCAAAGTCCCAAGATTAAACTTCTGTTATCACAATCGTCCGCAACCGGTTCGGTTAAGTTTATTCCTCGAGCGCCGACGCGCCTGCCATTATGGATGGTCATTTGAAAGAGGAGCAGTCGGACTCGACGGTCCAAACCGTTGACGAAATGGCCTTGGAATACTATAGAGAAGACTCGGTATTAAAACCCGTTTCTGCCCGTGCGCACACCGACGATTGGCCTTGTTTTCTACTTACCGGCGCTACGGTATTTCACAAGGATGGCACCTTAGCAAATCTACTGCATGTTGATTTGGAAGGTCCCTTGATTGTTCGTGGAAAGCTTGAAATTGAGAAGGACCAGGAGAAATTCCTTATTAACCGACACATGAAAGACCGTTCGCCATATATCCAACTCCAGGACACGGTATCCTTCTCAATCGGCCTTAAGGAAGATAAACCTCCCATGCCAGTGCTGTGGGCTAGTGGCGGAGCAGGTTGGTATGAGATCGTTCCGTCTGATTCTTATAAGGATATATGCAACATTATGTTCCAAGGCATCTCTCTTCACTATGCGATACTTGACCAGTATGAAGCTGTACTAGAGAGTCTTCACAGGACAAAGAAAAACAGAAATAAGACACTTAGAGATGTCAAATTGGACTTGAACCACGTTCTCATTAAGGTGTGTACATACAATAATGGCCCTTCAGTTATGCATGAACCAATGTTTACATGTCTATGCAAACCAAACCTGGCTCTTTAAACCCATGTCTGACTTCATTACGCAGTATGCAGTAAACGTTGGCGACGGTATCACATCTGCCGAGGCAAAACAGCGAATTAACGACCAAGCAATCTTCTTGCTTTCTCATTTTCCCAAGGATACCGAATTTTATCGCATGTTGGCTCAAGAATGTCCTGTAAGACCAACTCAAATTAATATCCAAATACATATGCTGGTCTAACTTAAAGTATAGAATATTGTGCAACGACTTGCCGCAAAGGAGTCGAACGAAGCTAAGGCAGCCACAAGCTCAGAACCTAGCACATTAGTTGCGGTTCCTTATCGAGATCAACAGAGGTCTAGTTCTCTTGAAGGTACCAACAGTAAAAAAAGGGGTAGGCCTTCGTTACGGAATTCGACGTCAAGACATCTGCAAGATGCTGAGGCTACCAACCATCAGTTTGCTGAGACAATAGAGGCTGCAAGCCGTATAGCAGTCCAGCCTACCGTAGTCAAGCAGGAATTACCAGCGAATGCTGAGTTCAGACCTGTCGATGAAAGTTCTAATATGGGCGCAGCTAGTTCTCGCCCTAAGTATAACCGACCCAGAGAATATCATAACGCAGAAAAGCAAGCTGACGCACGCGCATCGGAGGAACTCAGTGCGGCCGCAGAAACTGACATACCTCGCCCATTGCTACATAAAGACGAAAGCTCTGGCGCGGATATCCGTTCAGGTATCGATCCCTCTCTATCTGTCGTCCTTGAAGTTTTGCGTGATTTCCGAGAGTCACTACTTGCACTCCCTCCACATGAGAGGACAAAGACCCCAGATCAGTTGTCTCCCAGTACTTGGTGTAACAAGCTTTATCGCGATTTAAGTGTCAAAAAGCCTCGGGCGCTAGCCGAAGTCTGCAAATACTACGCCAAAGATCTCCTGCGTCTACTTGGGCCAGAGTGGTATCCGAGCAAGTTTTACAAGTGGCTAAAGGCAAACGTTGACTCGGTGCCAAGCTTCGAGGACCTGCCAGAGGAACAGATGAGAAATATCCACAAACGCAGGAAGAAGGGCCAGCCTCGCGAAACCCGACAATCCTACACAAGTTCACCTTCTTACACAAGTCCTGCTCCTTCCTGGAGTCATCTTTCTCATGCGAATCGTCCTTCCTTAAACCAATCTTCCTACGAACTTCCAACCGCCATGGATTACCAGCAGCCAGAAGAGAAGGCTCAAGGAGCACAACCGCCCCATAGAGTCCGCACCAGCGGTAAGGTAGCAGGACTGCGCCCGTCTATTGGAGGCAAGAAACGACTACTTCGAGATCCTAACCTTGGTGATGATGAAATGGAGCTAGACGACGACGGGCTGCAGAAGAAAGTATCTAAGAAGTCACGTTATTCTGCTAGTGACGGCGAACATGACGGCGAGCAAGGTGCAACCGCTTCTTCCGGCAACGAGTACAACGCGGAAGATGAGGATGCCTTCGCAACTGGCGTAGTTGGCAGCTCAACAAAGCCTTCGAAACCCAATAGAGATGGTGTGATCGAAGCATGGAAATGCGAAGAACGTGGTTGCAGCTACGTCGTTCAGGTAGAGGACGAGGATGACGCCGATGCCCTTATAATGCACCATTATGAATTGCACCATAAGGATGCTCGACACAAAAAGTATACGTCAAAGCGGGTGGAGATACAGAGCATAATTCGCGAGGAGTCCCGCATAGCAGGTGGTGCTCCTATCAAGTATGTTAATTTTCCTCAGTCTTCGGTTTGGCTCTGTTATCTAACTATGTGCATAGCTTCCTCCTTAAGAAAGTAGGTCGACATACTGCGCTCCTCGAGGACCTCGCGAAGACAGAGTATCAGGTGACCCTGGAAGTAGAACGCCAAAGTCGTCGCAAGGTAAGACTTCAAGCTCAGGAGACGCAGCTTCAGAGCCAAGAGAAACAACTTCAGTACCAGGACACGGAACTTGACGTTGGGGACGTGCCGGAGCCTAAGGAGCGCGACACTCTACAGTAGATTTACCTACGAGATTTATACTTATGCACGGACATGACGACACGACGGTTCTTTTTCTTTTTCTTTTTATTTCTTGCGTTTGAGGTTCTGATTACTACAGCAATCGGAGCCCTGGATATGTCATGGGGCCTTGATACGACACTTACAACAGACGGATGATACCCCCTTTGCATTTAACATGGTCGCTCGGCGCTGGTGAAATTTTTGTGTTTTCAACTTCCAATCATATCCTCCTAGAGAACAATTTTTCGTTTTTTTAACGAATCACTCGGGAGGAAATTTTGCACGTTTTTTTCTGGTTTTAGCCAAAAAAAAGCAAAGTTATGAGTCCCGCGAGGGCATCATTCAACGTGCTACTATTTCTAACGATCTAGATCGAGAGGCTTTGCGTTACGCTTCCTCATCGTTCTTTTTGTCTCACACAACTTGGGGGGGGGGGGGGGGCGGGGGGGGGGGCGGGGGGGGGGGGGGGGGGGGGGGGGGGGGGGGGGGGGGCGGGGGT